ATATCAGTGAAAAAATAAGAACACGACAAACCATGCATGCAGGAGGAACCAAAGGGCATGTGTTTTTCTAAATAACTGTTCTTGTTCGATTTTTTTCCTGGGAAATGGTTATTGAGCTACATTGTTGATAATCTCACAAACAAATGTGCTGCCCTTTCTTCTTTAAAATAATTTTGTTCCTGGCAAACGTTTTTAAGGTCAAAAAGGTTTATATAACGTTGTTATAGTCAAAAACGGCTGATATTTTTTTTAGTTAGGAAATTTTTATTTTCCTCGGCTCTTCCTTGCATGCCTAAACCGAACATTGAAATGACTAAGAACTATACTCTTGATCAAAGTAGGTGAAAATTAAGTTACCATAATCTTAAGTACTATAGTAAATTAATATCAAACAGCAAAACAAGCTAAGTTAATTACGAGAAAAAATAAAAGTTCCATGCGTACCTTTCATGGTCGCGCAGATCAATACAGCTTTTCAGTCCGTAGCCATTGCAGAGTTAAGTTACAATTACAAGAAAGACTACTATAAGCAAATGTATACATATCATGTATATGTACAAATCAGTTCCCGGTAAAGAAAGAGAGCTTGTTTTTAATGCCTTGTCGAATGTAAGAGAGACGAAGCGTCATGATGATTGGGTTGATCAGAGATTGGAGCTGCAGAAATGTAATACAGACAGGACTGGAGAGGTATTTAAACTCTCTTGTGACATCTTTCCCGCCAACGGCTTCAATCGCGGCAACGATCATGAAAGGAATGTAAAATACAACCATCAGACCCACTAGTATGGTCATCACCAAGCCTTTCTTGTATTCCTTGAGGCGTTGTTCTTGTTGTTGCTGTTCATCGGCCTGTTGAACTGATGCTTGCTGTTGAGCGATGGTTTTGCTCTGACGATAAGCTGTCAGCTGCACTTTGACTGAGCAGTAGAGGATGACCAGAGCACTAACACTTGTGACTATCATTATTGGGACTCTGGTTAAACTGGGATGGTTCTTGTTCAGGAAAGCGCTACTTGCCATCAAACATGTGAAGGTGCTAACACATGTCATTATGGTTGTTACTATTACTCTTTTCCCTGTAACGTGCTTGAGATAAAAGTTCGGGTGTTGTATGGCTAAATACCTCTCAACACTGGCTGCCACCAAGATGACCATGGTAATTCCACAGCAAGGAAGCATCAACAGGGCATGCATTGTGAATTGACAAGGAGAATGACAGCCCTTTACAAAGCACCCAAGCAAGACACAGAAAATTGGTTCGACCAGCAATCCTACCAGGAAATCTGTCACCGCTAAGAGGCCAAGCAAAAGGTTGAAGGTGGAGGATCGAATAGTTTCATCCCAAAACACCGTCCATATGATCAAACCGTTGAGGACAGCAGTCGGCAGGGAGGCAATGCCATTGACAGTTGCGAGGAAGGTCCAAGTCGGATAGACTGAACCGGGAGGGTTCATGTTGTTCGGATCAAAGAATGGCACTGACAAGAAACAGACGCCATGGCTGCTACTATCGTTGACGAAACTAGTAGAGTTTTTTGCCATGACCCAAGCGTTAGCGGTTTGCTGTCTGCATATTTCACTCAATCAAAATAACTCGAAGTCAGGATAAAAACGCTTTAKAAAAMCTGAGCGACRCGACGTCGTTTGCTTTCTATGTTTCTCTAAATAAAAGTAACTCAGAGACAGGATGCTTTAGTTAAATTTAAATGAGCATTGGCCCTATTACAATGAATCTTTTCCATTGCTTCTTTTTTTATGGTACTTTTTGAAAGCCATTTTCATGCCTTATACTAGTCTAGCACAAAAGGCTACACCTAAGATGTTGTCATGTTCAAAAGAGTTGAATCACTTAAATTCTCATACTTATTCATAAGTGGTAAACGTACTGGGACATTTCAATCATATTCTTAGAGCATAGTTTTCCAGGGCAGACATTCTCAAAAACTGCATGAAGCATCGCTAGCAAATAAACACCAGATGCAACACTTCGACTGATGTTTTTTTTAGATTGAATTTACTAATCTATCAGTTTATTGTCTGCAAACCGTTGTGACGACAGTTATGGCTTAATTGGGATATTTGTACAATGATCTTTTGCCATTTATTAGTCCCATTGTCCCTCKATTCCCTCTCAGCCTGTTAATTATTTTCAAAGAAATAACAAACTWCATATTAATTTCAAACGAATACAAAAAGCACTTATTCAAACAGTTTAAACTGCTAAATGCTCCTATTCGAAGTTTGCTTTGATGGTTTTAATTTTGCGGGACGAAACAGGCTTTGGTAATTATATGGATATCTTTTGGATATTGCAAAAAGACCCTTACCGGCCTCAAATAAGCTAATTCCAGCATTGTATGTTGGATTTCCKATCTTTTTGTCATTAAGCAAACTTCGTTTTACAAACGATGAATGCTAGCACGTACGTACCATTTTTGAATAATAAAGTGAGTAAAAATTCACTAAAAAATATTCAATCGATTTTCATGAGAAAAGTATGGAAATGTTTTGTCAMAATTCATTGTAAATTTGAGGGTGTTGTGGGAATTGCGCTGTTAATCTGCATTTAATAAAATCACTGTCTGTCTACATTTTTATGGATTTTTTTAGTTGGGAGATTTTTTTTCTTTCAARAATAAATATTTTCCGGAGCATAAAATAGATATATGATTTTTAAATATTTTTAAAATTAAGAAACACTTGGGATTGTTGGGAAAAAAAACTCGAAAAGCCTTTGGAATCGCTTCCTTAAAAGTCCCAGATCGAAATTTAGAACAAAGATCTCAACAATCAGAAAAAATCTTCTAAAAATGATTTTAAATACTATGAAGTTTACTGAGTTTCAGTCCTAGGTAATATACATCTACTTCAAAAAACGTTATCGGGGAGAACGGCTAGCGGCGATTGTTGAAGGGATATTGCACGAACGAAAGGGACTCTGGTTAGACTGTTTTGACAAACAGTTTTTCACTTATTGGATTCACCTTGCATAGAAATGAAGACTAAATGGATCCAATGTTTATCACAGACTATCTTACCAGTGGCGGATCCAGGGGGAGTTCCATGGGTTCCTAGGAACCCGCTCGAGCATAAAAAATATGTAAAAATAAAGATATGACAAATGAAATAAAATGAAAACGCATCGTACACAATTGCATCCGAGAAGGATGAAGCTGGCTTATATCTTACAATGTATAGGTAGAGAGGCACATTAAAAAAGTTCTTTTTAGGAAAATGCGAAAACAAAGTGGAACCCCATTTGAAAACTCCTAGATCCACCACTGCTTACAGTACACTCAGTTGTTATTTCTCATCAACACTGAAAAAAATCGCGCGCTTTAAAGGCTKTAAATTTGATGTAAATATTATGTAAGTGTCCAAAATGATGTAAATTTGATTTAAATTTACATCAAATTTAAGCATCAAATTTACATCAAATGTACATCATTTTGGACACTTACATAATATTTACATCAAATTTACAACCTTTTAAAGTGAACGATTTTTTCCAGTGCAATTATCAAAACCCAGGACTACTTTGGTCGAGCAGTCGCCGTTCGACAATTAACATTCGCCATTCTATCCAACAACACGTATATGAATTATTGTACGAATAAGAGTATATATTGTACGAATAAGAGTATATATTGTACGAATAAGAGTATATATTGAGCACATTTGAAAACATTTGTCCTCTTTTTAGTCCTTTAGATTTTTACTAATCTTTCAGTTTATTTATTTTATTTTTTTTTACAAACCGTTGCGAGGACAGTTTTTAATTAATTGGGATATTCAAGCAATGATCCTTTTTGCCATTTATTAGTCCCATTGTTCCGGCCTAGGGATTTCCTCTCTGCCTGTTTATTGTTTTCAAAGAAAATGACAAACTTCGTATTCTTCGTTTTCAACGTACAGCGGCCATCTTGGAGGAACTTCAACAAAAGATTTATCAGTAGCATCGATTGTTTATTCCTCCAACATGGCTGCCGGTCTTTTATCTTTCGAATCATGAGAGTTATTATTTCAAACGAATATAAAGAGCACTTATTCAAACATTTGAAACGGCTAAATGTTTTGCAATAAATCTTATGAATTTGTAAAAACATGCAAGAACTAGACTGCCAATATAAAACACTACATGGATGGGAAACTGAATCGCGTGAAGGATCATGGGGGTCAAAGGGTCTTTGCTATGGAAGTTGTTTTTGGATGGTTGTATATGAGGGGAGATTAATGAGCATTTTTTACATCTATAATAAATATTGGTTTTAATTGAATGTTATTTTCCGGGGAATTTTCTATTAGTATTTGTAAATTGGTGTTTTTGAAAGTATTAATGTAAAAACTGTGGCTTCTA